TCCTCTTACTACCAAAATGTTCAGATTTGGACTTGTCTATCCACAACACATTTTGCCACTCTTGTAATGTCCAGTTCTTGTGTTTTTTGCCCATAACAGTTTTTTTTTTGTTTAGTCACCAACTGTAACAGGGGTTTCTTGATGGATGATCTAAATCAATTATTTATAGTTGAGAGTGACATTGGTTGCTGTTGAGTGGAATTAAGTTCAGCCTTCAACTCTGGAGCAATTTTCCTTCTATTTCTTTTGCTCTCAATAATTAAGTGTCTATCATCAAGTAGCAGTTGTCAACATTTATGCCTTTGTAACAAATAATGCATCCCATGTCTAGAAATCTTCAACTTCTTGGCTATTTGTCTTTGAATAAAATTTCAATTTGTGCCCTCACCTCAATGCTTAACTGATTTGATTTTATGCTAACTACTTCAAAATTAAAAAATAAATATTAAAAAAAAAACTATGAAAATATTGTCGTAATGCCACAATCATTTTTTCTTCATCAAAGATAGACAGCTATATTGTTTGATTGAGACTGATTGGCTATATATATATATATATATATATATATATATATATATATATATATATATATATAGTAAGAATTTATTTGACAGTTTTTTTTAATTCAAGTGACAAAGTTAAGGCTGTTTAATTTGTGAATAAACTGCTCAAATGTTTTGTTCAAACATCTCAGTAATTATCAAGAACTTGGTGTTGTTGGTATGGTAGACAAGATTTAGCTGTTATTTTTGGGAATGCAAAATTCGAATTCATTCAGATATATGCATATAAGTGACATCATGTGTAAAATGAGCTCAACTACACTGGAAAATAATATATCAAATATTTATATGCAGTATTATTATTATTTTAGATGTGTATTAAAAATTTTATGCACACTTTAAAATAATGTCACCTGTAGTGAAATATGTTTTATTTAATACAGATTGTTTATTTTGTATAACAACAGCTTTGTGAGTCTTTCCTTGCAGTGAGTACAATATAATATTTTCGTATCATCTATTAATGTTTGCCTCATGTTAATAATTGTATTTTGATTCTTTGTGATGTGATGATTGATCTGTGCACAAATTACACTAAATTTTGGCAAGTGATGAGTCAACCTACTGGCCAATGTAAGAACTTAATGTTATTTTTATTATTATTAACAGTAGAGATGTAATCTCTCAAAGGATATGAGAATTTATAAACAACATTGTTTTTAGATAAGGGAGATTTCTGACATCCCAACTTATAGGTAATAGTCAAGTTAGATGTCCTTTTGAAGATCTTAGGGTTTAAAATAAATTCCAGGATGTAATCAATAAAATTGTGTCTGCCATAGTGACAACATTTAGTTCTTGATAATAACCGAGACATTTAAAAGTACTTGAACAAAAGGACAAAACATGAATGTGAAACAGTTTATTTTTTGTTGTAAGATGAGGCTCTTTTTCTTATTTTTCATGTTATTTTTGGCTTGTGTTGAATTGCATTCTTGAGGTTCAATGTTTGTTTCAGGGTGTTGTGCTATTTGCATATTTTTTGTCTCTGTTTTCAGAGACCTTCTGTTACTACTATATATTTTTTCTTAGTTTCCTTTAGAATTGACCATAGCATGAGATATTGGCCTACAGACAGTTACCATTTAGCAGATAGCTGGACTTTGTTCTGTCGTTGTCACATGTTGGTGATTTTTCTAGTGTCTTGTAGCCTATTTTCAGTGCAGCAATAGCTAATTTTACTTTTTTAGTATTTCTGTGTAATATTTTGATGAGTTTGATGAATATTTTACCTATATTCCTTTTTACATTTTTATTGTATAGAGGATTGAACCATGTAATACTTCTTTATCTGTTGCAATTTTTGATCTATTTGATGTAAATGTTAGTTTTACAAAAAAGACACTGTTTTTTGTGCTATTTCATAATTATTGATTATAATTATAATAAAGGCTTCATTGAAAACTTTTCATTAGATGATGTATCAGAATCTGCAAGTGATGAATTATGGGAACTGCTTGATTATGATAAGTGGATGATTGAAAGAAATGTGTATCAGACAAAATACAGATAAAACCAGAAAGGAAACAGAATGCAAAATCAATATAAAAACAAGCTTAAATTATGAAAAAATGCTGGCTGAACTAAAGTTTTACAATTGCATATTTGGACAACATTGTAAGAAAAAGTGAAACAGTGGTAGAACATTTTAAAGATCTAGACCAAGTGTTTGAATATATAAGAGAATTGAATTTTGGTGTTAGTGAAAAAATGAAAGTTATTTATATCTAGCCTAAAATATTTAGGTCAAATTGCCATCCAAAATGAGCACAAACCAGACCCAGATAGATTAAAAGACATAAAAAATATGACAGCTCCCACAAACATTCCTAGATTACAATTTTGATCCTAATTTAGAAATACCAGTAACCTCTGAATGCTAATGAATATGGTATTAAGGCAGTGATTTTGCACAAATTAAAGAATGAAAAAATGGAAGCTGTAGCACATGCTTCAAGAATATTACCTGCAGAGAAAAATTATAGTCAAATAGAAAAAGAAGCATTAATTTTGGCAGTAAAATAAATTCACAAAATGTGGCATTGTAGAAGATTTGTTATGCAAACTGATCATAAAGCACTTCTTGCAATATTTGGTTCAAAAAAGTGAATTTCAATTGAAGCAGCTAGTAGATTACAATAAGTGGGCTATGATATTATTAGATAATTTGCTAAATAAATTCCAAAATACAAAGAACCCCTCAAAGATGCAATAATGGCTTTGTTAAATAAAATCAGAAATAGAAATATGTTATGCAACACAACATAAAACTACCAGTGACAATGGACAAAATAAAATTAAAATCTAAAAAAAAGATTAAACTATTTAAAAAGATAATGAAATGTTTAAAAATTGGATGTTTAGAAGCAAAAAATAAAACATTACAATAATTTTGGGGAAATAAAAAAATTAATTTTCCATCTGTGATAATTGTTTAATGAATGAATTTTTCTAATGAGAAGTTAGGTGTATTGGCCAAGAATAGACAATGATATTGAAAACTTAGTAAAATCATGTGTGAAAACTTAGTCAAATCAACTGTGAAAAGTTGCTAAATTCAACTGTGGCCTTCAGCAAATGAATCATAGTCTAGAGCAGTGGTTCTCAAATGGTGTGGCAGAAGACGATATCAGGTGAGATGAAATGATTGAAAGGCAATCAAAGATTTAGAAACAGTTTAAAAAATTTGTAAGCCAAAAATAAATATGATTTGAAAATTTAAAATATTATTACTTGTAATTGCATGCATGAGTTCCAGTATAAATAGTTATAAATACTTATTGACCAATTTTATCAATGTGATATTTTTGCATCATATATTAAGAATATGTATTTTTTGCATCATGTATTAAGAATATAGCAACTAGGTGTCTGCAAATTGGAGTAGAGGGCTATCAATAATAATGTTCTGACTTCGAATCCGCTGTTATCTGCTTTTAAACCCTCTCTTTGGACCTTCTTTGCTGTAGGGTTGCTTGCACCTTTTCACCGGAACTTCCCTTTGGTGAGGCGTGAGTAAATTTTTTTTCCGAAAATGCAGACCAGAGAAAAAATGTTTGGGAACCAGTAGTCTAGAGATCATTTTAAACTATGCAGACCAATAAATAGATTCTATAACTTAATAAGAGTAGATAGCTTTTCAAAATGGGCTGAAATTTTGTTGCATAGTGTTATAATACATGTATAAGCTCATAATTCTGGTTAATAATATTCTAAGGAAAACACTGGAACAAAAGATTAGTGAAGAAACTGTTTAATTACATGGATTAATAAAATACAATAATAGCAAATACCATAATTAGTGCAGCAGTGCGTGTGGAAACTTTATGACTATCTTGCAATATACTTTGTGACTCCTTTTGTATGAGCTGACATTCCTTTCATAGTGAATGGAAGAGTCTGTGTTCAACAATTTAGTAGAGTGTAGGATGGTCATCTTTTAACACAACATATAGTGAATCTATTTCCAAGGTTTTGATAAGCCACTGCACTAGTGGATTTTGTTAGTTGCTGCCTTGACTGCTTCCTGAAATGCACATATGTAAATAAAGGCTTGTTATAAAGATATCTAGCTGCATGTATTTCTCTTTAACTAAAATAGTTCCATTGTAAAATAAGGAATTATAACAGAAACATATCCAACAGGTTAGTTCAGAATTCTTTGGCTTCCATTATGGGAACAGAGTACCCTCGTCAACTCTACAACACTAGACATGGCACCCTTCTTGGGCTTGTGACATCACTAATTGGGTACTGGAGGACTGGTAATGTGTGGTATGTCCTGTGAGTCAGGGTTCCTGTTATTTCAAGTTGATGATAGTTGGGTTCAAATATGTTTCAGACTACATGAAGCCATGGATCCCAGTAGTCAACAAAGCATCATGTAAGATGGTGGTGGTTCCATAATAGTGTGGTGTGTTCACTTAGCATGAGTTGGGCCTGTTTGTCTGCCTAAATATGTCATTTATCAATGACCCTTATTTTGCACAGCATCATGACTATTTGGACACATTTATAGATTTCATGTATCCAAACAATGGATTTTTCCAGCAGTATAATGCACTATATCATTAGGTCCAAATTGTACAAAATTGTTTTGAAGAGCACTCTGGAAAGTTCCAATAAATAATGTTTGCCTGGCATGAAACCAGTTGAGCATTTATAGTAGAGAGTGTAGCACACAAGAATCCTGCACCTATAAATATCAAGGTGTTATGGACAGCTAACAAGATGCCATAGCACAATATCACTCCAAAGGTCTTCCAAGCACTTAATACCACATTAATTCACTGCACTTTGCGAGGTTAAAGAGCATCTACACAATACTAGGTATTTATCTTATAACTTTTGGCATGTCAGTGTATAACAAAACTAAATTTGAACAATTTTCTTTTTGCAAAATGAAAACAGAAAAGAAAATAAATGTGAAAAGTTTACCTGGTTGTTCCCAGTAGCAAGACTGGCAATGTGCTCAAACAGGAAAACATCTCTAACTGTAGCCTCAGCTATACACATAGCCTGACTCAGGGCACTACCTGCTGGACTTCCCACTACCCATTCATATGGTGGGTCATTAGGAGGCAATGTGATATCCACTTTAGACTTTGCTGCCCTGGAGAAATAAAATATATTTTCTTTACATTTGATCCATTCAAGTTAATTGTTAAAATATTTACAGAGATTTTGTGCAAAAAATAATTCTATTTTTGAAAATCAGGAAGTACTAAAATAGCCATTAAATAAAGTATTTTCTTAATAATTTCTAGTATCATTTAATCGTATATTTTTAAAAAAATAATAATTTATATCAACTGTATAGTACATGTCTGAATTCTCTGAATGTGACTTTTGTCATTTGTTACTTTGTTGTTTTTTGTTTTTTTTAACATACAATAAATTGAAGTAATAAGAGACTAAATGGTTCAAGAATGTTGTGGAAAAAAATAAATCTGGAACACTCCTAATACAAAACTGAAACTCACATGCTACCTTTAAAAAATGATTTACTTGTTTTCCTTTTTCCTAATAAATTTGACCTAATGCTATTAAATTTTGTGAATTTCTTATGAGAACCAAACACACAACTGACTAATGAAATTATTGCATTACCCATTGTGATATGGTTAGCTTGATCACTAGACATCAAAGTGTTGGTTTGTGAATTTTGTGACATATTCAGCATGAGTTCAATCCCTGGGCTGGGCAGTGTTTACTTGAACTCAGTGGGCAATAACTGAGCAGTACTAAAAAAAAAAATAGATATCTCTAGACGAAGGTAGTGGGACAATAACAGTCTACCATAATAAATTAAATAAAGGATTCAGTTCAGAATTCCTTTCTAGGTTACCCAGATTAATATACACCTGATAAAGGACAGTGAGCACAATGGCCAAAATGTTGTGATAACAATAACAAAGATGAGGACAATAATCCAAATATAAATAGTTTAAATAATAACTTTTCATCCCAGAAATTCAAACAGAAAACATCAAATAGAAATAGAAACAAAATGATTTATCCTTATTTAATAATAAAATTAAATAACAGTACCTATCATTAACATGTTAACACAACCTAAATTTTGCAGTTGTCTTGATACTTACTGAGCCTAACTTACTTTGGCATAAGACTAAGTAGAAGGTAATGCAACATAAAAAGATTGTGTTGCACCAATCATTTAAGAGGGAGAAAGCCTGGCTACCTTGAAAATCAGCATTCAAAATCCTAACTCCAGCAGTTATCGGTTTTTCTACAGAGATAATGAAAATATATACTCACACTGATATTCAAATATGTCTTTCATATTGGTTTGAATTTAATGTTTATGTCATAAAATGACCACAATTAATAAAAAGCAATAAAGTTTTTATTCAACTGAACTGTATATTTTTTTTATATATATATATATATATATATATATATATATATATATATATATATATATATATATATATTTAGTTGGATAGATGTGATTTGTGACCCTGGGTTTCACGCTTTAGCGATGCGTGAAACCCAGGGTCACAAACTCACATCTATCCAACCAAATGTTAGCTCTATCTCTGATATTGAGCGCTTTCTAATAATACCAGCATATAATATATAAATAATTATACATATATATATTTATTTATATTTATATACACTTTTCACACACACATATATATATATATATATATATATATATATATACATACACACACACACACACAGTGGGGGGGAAATAAATATTTGTACACTTGAAAATTGTATTTCTATAAATGTAAAAGCCTTAACTAAAACAAATTTTGATACATTTTATGTGTAAAGATACATTTTATTAAAAAATAGTAATAAACTTAATTAATTCTTATTCTAACAGAAATTAATGCATTTTTTTTTTATTTTAACTGATGAAAAAGTATTCGTACAAAACAAAAAGAAGCATATTAAATTAATACTTTGTGGAATATTCTTTATTGAGTTCAACAGCTACCAGTCTATTCCTGTACGTCTCAACTAATGATTTGCACACATTGAGTGGTATTTTGTCCCATTCTTCTTGGCATATTGTCTTCAGATTCTTGATATTTGTTGGTGCTCTTTTCCCAATTTGAATTTTCAAATATCGCCATAAATTCTCGATTGGGTTCAAGTCTGGGGACTGACTTAGCCATTGCAAGACATCAACGTTACTTTCAGCAAACCATTTCCTTGTAGATCTAGCGGTATGCTTAGGATCATTATCCAGTTGGAAAATCCAATCAGGAGGTAGCCCAAGTCTCTCAACAGAACGCATTGTCTTGCAGGATTTTCTGGTAGCTTTCGGCATCCATCTTGCCATCTATTATCGATATTCTGCCAAGACCTTTTGCAGAAAAACAGCCCCAGATCATGAAACTGCCACCACCAAACTTTACAGTTGGCAATGTGTTCTTTGGTAAGTAGGCTTCACCGTCCTTCCTCCACACATGATTTCGATAATTATGACCAAACAACTATTTTAGTTTCATTTGTCCATAGTACTTTTCCCAAAATGAATATTCTTTATCCTTATGCTCTCTATTGAATTTTAGCCTAGCATCTCTGTGTCGTTTCAAGAGGAGTGGAGTCTTCCTGGGGATGTGTGATTTCAGACTGTTTTTGTATGGTTCATTACTTATTGTACGCTTGGTTACTTTAATCCCTAGTGCATGCAGATGTTCCTGCAGCTCTTCTCGGGTAACCTGTGGATTTTGTTGGATCTGGCATTCTAATATCCTTGCTGATCTTAGAGAAATCTTCCTCGGGGCACCTGTTCATCTTTGGTTTTCAACACTGTTACGAGTTTTAAACCTTGCAATGAATGAAGCAATTGTAGTAAAAGGAATATTCAGGTTGTTAGAAATCGTTCTGTAACTGTTCCCATCTTTCCAAAGAGACAAAATGTATTGTTTTTGTGAAATAGTCAATTCTTTACCTTTAGGCATTATTAGAACCTGCTCGTAAGATTAGAAATTGCAGAATGCTCTGATAATGGCTAATAGCGGTAACTATAATTACTGATAACATTACTGAAACATTCTAGAATATACTTTTTTCATAATTAATTGATTATTTTATTCTAATAATTGATTTGTACGAATACTTTTTTCACCAGTTAGAATTTAAAAAATGCATTAATTTCTGTTAGAATAAGAATTAAGTTTATTATTATTTTTTAATAGCATATGTCTTTATACATAAAATGTGCCGAGATTTGTTTTATTTAAGGCTTTTACATTTATAAAAATACAATTTTTCAAGTGTACGAATATTTATTTCCCCCCACTGTATGTATGTGTATTTATATATATATATATATATATATATATATATATATTTATTCACTCCGTACAATATATACAAGGAGATGGTCCCCTACTTGTTGGAGCATGAAGATGTATGCCTTTATATAGTATTTACATATGTGACATCCATTAAGGGGAGATCACTAATAACCAGGAGTTATTGAGATATAATTCTCGATAGTGTTATTTTGTTTTTAAGCTGCACTTTGTATGTTACTGGAGACCTCAACAAAATCTTCAGATCTAGTGGATATTTGTTGTTGAAACCCCAGTAGTTTATTCATTGATATACTCTTCAACTGAGTGAAAAACGTTTGTTTGATCTGTATTATCACTGTTGCTTGAAGTTACAGTTGCTTTGCCTGTTTTATTCTTGGTAAAGACAGGTAACATAGGTTTATGTGTACTTTGAAAGATGTTTTGTGGACCCTTATAAATTTTCCTGCAAGATACTCAACTGTTGCAAAGTGTGATTACACCAATTAATTTTTAAATAATTTTTTCTATAATATCTAGTTTTGGTGCTGAATGACAATGCTATATGACAACTAAATCTGGATGGTAAATACTCTGGTATAAATTCAGCAATATTCAGAGGAAGATTGGTTGAATTTTAAAAATCTCTCAAAAGGAGTTTCATTAGTGACAGTATGCAAGAGAGTCCTCGTGATGGTACTTTTTCTCCCATTCCTCTTAGTTCAGCTGTTCTTATAGCCAACTTTATGGTTTTCACTAGAGTAGCTAGATCTCTCAAATTGTCCATTGGTATATGGTTAACATGTAATTCGTGTTTTTATTACATTGTTAAGCCAGAGGAATGTATGGAGTTCATTACTTTCAAATTGGATTCCTCTTTCAGAATGTAATGAACTCAGGAACACAAGAGAAATTTTAGATGCTTGATTTTAGTGACTGTTGAGATGTCACTTCAGAGAAACACAAATGAAAAGCAACTATACTCATCCACAAAAATTAGTATATTTTCAGATTAAGTTAAAAGAAAGTGTTGCTAACAATCAGAAAATGACAGCTGAAATTTTTAGGACACATAATGAAAAAGGAAGGCTTGGAAACTTTAATACTCATAGGATGCATTAAAGATAAGAGAAGCAGTGGAAAGCAGTGGATAACATACTTAAAAATTTGATCAAATGAATGGAAGGACAATATTTACTAACTTATGTTCATAAGGTGTATATGTTTTAACTGCAACATATAACAAAAAAGGAAAGTGTGGAAACTAACACACAGAGGATGCAATGAACATAAGACAAGCATTGAAAGGCAGTGGATAATGTACTTGAAAAGCCAGATCAAAATGATAGAAAATCAAGTACTACTAAACAAAGAGGGTTCATAAAGGATCAAGTATTAATAAAAGCAACAAAAGAAAAGAAACTGTGAAGAGCCATAACTGCCCACATCCTAATAGGATATGGTATATAAAGATGGAGAGATGAGGATAGCAGTCCAATAGTGTTTATAGATACTCTAATCTAAGGCTGATAACACAATTGTTGACTATGTCTTGTATTTCTGTTAATGAAACAGATATATTGAATGACTGATAATAGTATACAGGTCTAGCCACATCTGGATGACAAAGGCAATTATGAAGTTTCTTCAAGTAATTGACACTCCTTAATGAGCTATAACAAGATAAGATAGTATTTTGTTGTCCTTTCTAAGTCAATAGGAAATGCAGGAAAAATCTGCCAACAAACCAGCTTTGCCCTTTTAATCTTCAGTTTAGACTTCACTGAGAACAAAAATGAAACAGTGCTGCTCTATAAGGATTGCAAAGGTTAATGCTGCAGCTAATAGTCTTTACCATGTGATAATACACTCTATAATGGTGGCTGCTTCTCAATCACTATTTTCTTTCAACTTCACACACTTATCTTGCATGTAAAGCTAATGAGCATCTATTCTGAGAGAGAATGCTGCCTAATGCTATTTCAGTTGCATCATTCTCCAGCAAAAATGGACATTAATGCATCAAAAGAGAGGCCTAATAAACTTGTAAAGTTTACCTAGAGCTTCAAAGGCCATTAAATTCTGAGAGGAAAAGAGGCACCTGATGATAAGTGTTACACATAAATCTCTTATAGAGAAAATAGTATTCTGTATGACATTTAAGAGATATTTTGTTTATTGAAGGCAAAGCTGTTAAGTTATGCATATTTGTTTATAATTTGGGAATAGTCTATTAATAATCTGGGTTTACATTCAGTGTTAGTAACGAAACATTAAGTTTTCCATGGAGCTGAATTCATACTAATAATATTCTCTATTCATTTTTTATGAAATTTGTATGGTTTGAGAAAATATGTTTTCAATGTTAAAGAATTAATTACTGTCAGCAAATAAAAAATTCAATACTGCTTATAGTCAGAAAAAGAGAAATAATGATACTAGTGGTAGATTTTTACCTAGTTTAAGAGTAACTTCTTTATATGGCTGAAAAACATTATTTCTAATAATTAAAAAAGCAATGAAATACTTTACAATTGATATATTAAATAAGAGTTAAACTTCTTTAAGTATTATAAAGTAAGTAGTAAGCATTATTTTCCTTCTTTTTTTTTTTTGATTGTGTTCCATTTCATGTCATCTCTGGATTTTTGTTGTCTATCTGCAATTCCTCTTTAGGGTCCCCAATGTTGCATCAGATCAATGACAAACATTTTTTAATTTACTATTTATTATTCAGTTGTATTCAGTTTACTATTTAATTTTCCTTATTATTATTCAGTTGTCAAAAGGTTTTATCAAAATTTATTATTCAGTTGTCTGAGGGTTTTATCAAAAGTTTCTTCCACTATGAGAAATATGTTTGTCCCTCAAGAGAAGAATAATGTTACTAGTTAAAAATTTTTTTGCTTTTTTAATAAATATATTCAGCATAGTTTTTCACTAATTATATTCCTCTTTAGTAGGGTTTTTAAGGGTTGTAATGTCTTCCAAATGGTACACAAATATTTCTTTTATGTCAGATACAATTTGGTTGAATAAAATTGAAATGAAATCACCACTATTAACAAATATAAGCAACATTTATATAGTATGTATATTTCCAATTTCCGGGGGCGGGGTGATCACTTGTAACCAAAAGTTAACATTTAATTCTCAACAATTTTCAAAACCTAACTATGATGTTATTTTTCATGTCTTTATTTGTCAGTTAGAGTTGTCAGAAATACCATGAGATTGTTATAAATTTAAACTAAAATTTTCTATTTTATTGTAAATGTAAAATGGTAATTCAAGAACATAATAGATGAACAAAAGAAATCTAAAAAGAGAATCTTGTATATTGTTAAATTTAGACAAAATTTGATTTTTGATAATATTTACAAGTATTCATGCTATTTGCACAAATATTGTATAAGGCCATAACTTTTCTATGACACTGACATACCAAAAATCATGGGATAGCTGTATGTAAAGGTAATGGTTAGTGGCACCACCATACCTTGTTGTCATGGAAATGTTCAAACCTATATCAAATTGTGTATTGACATTTAGTGAGTCAGTGTAAATGCTTATCAGAGTTTGAATAGGGCATGGCAGTAGATTCCAGATGGATGAGACATTTGACATCCCTTAATCTATGGAGTTACATGTATACTGGGAATATCTGAGAGAAGGCATTATCAAACATCAATGAACAAGGAGACTTCTGACAAATGGTGTGACCATGAACCCATTTGAACAATTATCAGAACACACAATATCTTATATCTACAAATATCAGGGAGATATGAACAGCTACCATGATGACTCAATATTTCACCAAAAGTCTTCCAACCACTTATGGAATTGTTGTCACATGGAATTGCTATACTTAGCAAGTTGAGAATGATTCCTACATGATACCAGGCACTTATACCATGACTTTTGACATATCAGTGTACAAAGCAACATATATTTTGAATAGACACCACTTAAGATGGATCTCACAATCCTTTAGCTCCAATTATTATAGTCTTTAGTGTAATGCTCCAACATTCAGCCATTATATTAGCAATGATTTAGAGAATGTAGAGGAAGTAAGTAAAAATGCAGTCCTAAATTATATGTACCTTAAATTGAAAGCAGTAAAATATTTTTTTTTGATTTTTAGAATGGCTTATTTTAATTCTCAGGATAAATTTGTAAACATGAAAATGTTAATTATAGAATACAATTTCAGTTTGTGAGCTGAAATCTGAAGGAAGCTCTCAGAAGAAATGTGCATTTTTCTTCAAATAAAAGTCAAAACCATAAGTTCTATTCTAACCATTTCTTTTCTTGCACTTCTCACTTGTGAAACTCTCTTCCAGTTTTGTACTTCTCTGTCACCTATGTCCTTCAAAAATTTAAATGCAACATCAATTGCCATCTTCTGTCTTGAATCCTGTTCTTTTATTGTCCTTTGTCTTCAATAATTTTCACTAACATCTCATTCTCTTTCGCTCCCAGTAACTACTTGCATCTTAGTGGCATTATCCCCTTGCTTGGGATGAAATGATTAAAACAAAAAACAATTTTTCACAATTGCCTTGACTAAATTATAGCATACTCACAAAGGTATTTACCCAATGTCTTGTTTGAAACATGTTAACATTTGCAGGAAATTATAAACACCTTTTAAAAGGAAGCCACTTTTGAATACAACATGCACACCAACACCCACAACTGCTAATTACTTGTATGTCTCACTTGGCCGATTTCTTGTTAGGACCTTTTTTTGATGTTGAGCTACGGTCTGGCTCCATCCCACTAACATCTGATGGTCCAGATTCATCAACTTTGGCTTCAACTGCAACTTCTTGTTTCTTTTTCTCTTCTTCAGCTGCCTTTTGCAAAGCATCAAAGAAATCCCTAAGCGAAAACAAAATATTAAATATCAGCAAAATTCTAAGTTCAAACAATTGTTTCAACAATGCCTTCAAGTTTAAATCTGAAACACTTTACTAAAATGTGGAACTCTGGATTTTAGTATTGAGGCACCATTAATATTCATTTTTTTAAAGTATTTCTATTTGTTTTGTGTTTTTTCCATTGTTTAGAATAACATTGTATTTTCTCATCAATATTCGGTCTCTTGATATAATTATTTAAAATATCAAATGTTAATAATATGTAATAATAATAGTATTAAATAATATAATATATAGTATTAAATGTTTATAATATAAAAAGTGTTTTAACTTACAATACTAATAAAAATGTGATAACAAATAAAGTCATATACTTTTTAAAAATAGCTTGATAAAACTTATAAATGCAAAGTGAAGGATTGATTTTAAAGCTGTATAAGATAAAACATGCCTCTATCAATACTGAGAACAATAATTTAAATATGTAAGAGGTTTAAGAATGTTTAAGGCTTATATTAAGAAGTTTAAGATGTGCTATTATGACATTTTTTAAAGTTGTAAATTAAAATAATTCTTGAACATTTCGATTTTAAAAATGTGTTTAATTTAAGAAAGTATCTTAGTATCTTTAACTGTTGAATAGATGATTACTAAAGCCTGCAGAAGTTGATCGATTAGGAAGTGTAGAACATTTGAGAAAATTTAATATATCTCGTATATATGTATAAAAACAGTTTAGTCATGGCTTATAGCAAATTAGGATTATCACAGAAGTAAATAATACTAACTTAAAGTTAATTGAAAATATAGACTTATGGTTACAGTTTAAAGATGTGACTACTGTAAAAAAAATGTAAAGAATAAACTATATTGTACAAATGTTTATTTTTTTTACATATGATTTTTGTAGTGAAAAATGAAAGAGTTGATAAAAATACATCATACAAGGTCTGATCAAAAAGTATCAGTACTTGTGCTATAAAAAGTAAACTACAACACATCAATTCTGCATTTAATCTCCTTCAAATAGCAACCTTCTGGAGCCATGCATTTTATCCAGTATTGTTTACATTGATGGAAGCATTGCTGGGACTCCTTTTTTTGGGATATTGAGCAGCTGCCTTGTCACATTCTCTTGAATTTCCTCGACATCTTGAAACGTTGGATTTGATTTTTGGAAAAAGGAAGTCACAAGAGGTGAGTTCTGGGGAATATGGTGGTTGCTAGATATGGGGAATGTTGTGCTTTGCCAAAAACTACTGCACAAGCTATAGTCTCTGATGGAACATCTGTGCTGTGGTCAGATGACCACACTCTACACATTTTCCTTCCAAGCACTGCTATAAACAATGAAAGTGAGTATGAACATTATAACTTAGTATGTATGCACAATAGAATTCAAGGTCAATCTGTACCAAGCAGCTTCACTCTGCATACTCCATTACCATAGCAACAGTCCACTTAATTTTTAATCAGACCTCATACAGCTGCATATTTTAATTTTATGCAAAACAATAGAATTTTCAAATTTTACATGATAATGAATCAACAGGAATACAATAAAGAAGAAATTTTCAATTATGCTTCAGGATTCAGTCACATGTTACAAAAGTTTAGAACACTTGAGTTCTGACTTCATATAATTAAAAAATAAATTCTATTTCACACACAATCAAAAGGCTTGTAAAAGACTTAAAAACTGTTTTCAACCATTTTTTAAGTGCAATAAAATGACTAAAAACAAGAACTTTACTAGCTTTCATTGATGTTAGGAATTAATTTTTAAATTAGTGTTTTTAATATCAATTTTGACGAGTTTATCTTTCATCTTAGCATTTCAATGAAAAGTAAAAATAATATGTTAGTCAAAATTAAAAATGGAAATACCTCATGTACAGTAGATATTTGAATGTTTGAATAAAGTTGGATATGTTTGTGATTATTTTCAAAGTTATAGTCAATTGAAAATATGTCATCTAAGAAATTTAGACAAAACTATTACTTCTGATGGCCAGGGAATTGTCTCTTAAGACCACCGACTACCCTTTCACATGCATCTGTCTTTCGCTACTAAACTCTGTCAGTTATCTTTTTTTCCTTTATCGCTCCCCACTCTTCCCAGGACTGCAGTATATTAGACATAATAGCTGACAGTATAGAAAAGGCACTTTCTCTCCATCCATCTGCAAACATCTATGTTTTTAGTGACTTTAATGCTCACCATGATATGTGACTGAAATATTCTAAAGGCATTCAGACATTAAATTTTTCCATTGCCCAATCCCTAACTCCAATCGTAGACTTCCCTATTCATTTCCCAAAACAAAACCGAGCAACAGGCTTCTCTACTGGATTTATTTCTTACCACCCCCTCCTCTTTCTTGCTGAGCTTTGCAATACTGCTTTCTTGGTAACTCTGACCACTCTGTGCTAGCTATTAATATTTTATTCCAATCATCTATTAAACAGGAACCCCTCTATCTATAAGACCTCTTTCTGTTACCAGCATGTTGATAGGGATTCACTCTGTGAGTTTTTTTGTGACACCCCATGGACTGACATCTTCAATCACCCAATTGAAAATTGTACCACTGAGATTTCTTCTTGCATCAAAGCCAACATGAATGCTATCATCTCTTCGTGGTAATACCAGATGAAACTTCAATTCTCTCCATGGTTCACACCAGCATGCTCGGCTGCTATACTCATCTGGAGTATCCCTGTCTAACTTCAGACTTAGAACTGATTCTCTCTTGAGTGATATGCATATAACCCCATCCTTGGTTTCTGCTATCATCTCTAACCTTGATCCCCACAAAGCATGTAGACTTGATATCTCTGTAATAGTCATTAAGAAGTGTTCTCCTGAACTAGTTCCTGTTCTCTCTAAACTTTATAACAAATGCCTTGCTGCCTTCTGCTTTCCTGTCTGCTGGAAGTCATCATCTGTTGTCCCAGCTTTTAAGAACTCTTCCAACTATCAGCCTATTAGCCTTCTACCTCTTTTTGGGAAACTCATAGAGACCCTAATCATTTCTGAATTGGTTCATCATCTCTCATTGCAGGACTTTTTCTCAGACAAGCAATATGGCTTTTGTTTCTCCAGGTCAAATGCTGATGTACTGATGATAATTGCAGAAAGAGTCTATCATGCTGTAGACAAAAACAGTGAAGCCAGGCTATAGCATTGGACATCTTGAAAGCCTTTGACCGGTTCTGCCATACAGGTCTTCTCCACAAGCTGAAAAGTTATGGTGTCTCGGGACACATGTTTGAGCTGATACAGTGTTTCTTATCAAATAGTTAAATGAAAATTATCCTGAATGGCCACTTGTCTAGATCCTTTCATACTAACACGGGTGTCGCCCAAGGCTCTATCCTTGGTCCTATGCTGTTTTCATTAATCAACTTCCCAATGACATCAGCTCTCAATTTGGCATCTACACTGATACCCTGCCTCAATAATAAGGCTGATCAATCAGACAGGGTCAAAATGGCAGCTGATGTCCAAAAGGAACTCCATACCTTCTTTAACTGATGGCTTGTCAATTTTAAGGCCTCCAAAACTAAACTTCTTTTCATAAATCATCTGAGAGACCCCTCTCTGCATTCCATCAGCCTGCTGATGCTAACCTCCAGGAAAATGATGACTTGTTGTGCCTTCTCAGGCTAATGTTCTCAGCTGACATAAAGTAGAAAGACTATATTGAAGCTATTGTTAGGTCAGCTGTAAAGAAAGTTAGTTCACTGTGTCGTGCAAGACAATTTTTCTCTCCAGTATCTATCTTACATAAATATAAGTCTACTATTCGTCCATGCCTAGAACATTGCTGCCACATATGGTCTGGTGCTCCTGCTATTTACCTTGAGTTCCTTGATAAGATCCAAAGAAGAATCAGCAATATTATTGGTTCTGATCTGGAGGCTTGGTCAATTGCTATCTACTGTCTTCCTGATTACTCTTTTCTCTTTTTGCTCATTATTAATGTTTCTGTTCCTAATTCTTCAACACTTTATAATGCCTTGCTTGGGGTGATACCAATAAAAAAAAACCCAGAAAAACAAACATATGAGCATTCTAATCCAAAGTAATTTACAATTAATTCTAATTTTTATTTAAAAAGTAACCCAATTAAGAAAACTTTCACAATAAATTAAAAATAAGTATTTTTTAAAATTTTATTATAAGTTAAAATCAACTTTTGAACTAAAGTCTAAAAATACCTTAAAAACTATTAAGTTTTATGCATTTTAGTGTAAAGGCCATAAAACACACGCCTAAAAATATTTTGGGAGTTTTTTCCAGGTTTTCTGAAAATATAAAAATTCTAGTATTTTGTTAATTTTAAACAATTTTAGATAAACCTTGAAAACATTTTATTTCAATACATTTCACTAAGGAAAATAATAAAAGCTTTAAAGAACTTAAATCATTAAATAGCATAAAATTTCATATTTTTTGTTCTTTCCAAAATGTTTTCTCAACATTTTGGAAAGAACAAAAAATATGAAATTTTATGCAAAATGTTTTCTCAAAATTTTGGAAAACAAAACCTAATATTTCTTCTAAAAATAAAAAGTGAAAATGAACCTAAAAATTTCATGGTCAATTATAGATTAAAATAGACCATGAGTCTCAAAATCTGGTACCTTTCAAATAATTAAAATTTAATTTGAAAAAATGTTATGAGATATAGTAGTAATTAACTTAAAAATACTGCACTTATTCAACATGAAATTAGGAATATTATGACTATAATATACAATATAAATGTGGTAAAACTAATTTTTATTCCTCTATGGAAATCTGAAATATCTTTTCTATTTGTAGTTGATAGAAATGACATGAGTTTTAAACACAAGAAAATTAAAAAAAAAAAATTTTCTGACCTACTAAAACCAAAATTTACTCAGTTAAGTACAAAAAATACTAATACAATTAAAAATTACTTTAAAGCTAATAAACTAACAAAATATCAAGAAATTTGCATTAACGAAATCTAAAATAAAACTGTCATCACTGAAAACATTGATAGTTTAGAAAATCTACTCAATAATGTATTACATCATTGATAGATTCTCTGTAGACTGTAAACAAATATTAATTCATTTAGTATATTGATTTTGAAAAAAAAAAAAAAAAAAAAAATCAATGATAAAAAATATTAAGCTGACTTACTTAATAATAGCATCTGTTTTTTGCTGACTATTTAATAATTCTTGTCCATGAAATTGTTCACCAAAACTGCCATTGATGTAACCTATGGCTATTTCCACAGATATAAGTTTCCTTTGTTTTTCTTCTATAATTTCTTTTATTTTGAATTGATTCCAGGTTTGAGAGTCATAACCAGCAGATATCATTGAAGTAAGCAACTAAAAAAAATCATATTTGATAAGAGATTATTATGAAACTTTTATATTTTTTGTATAATTAATAAAAAAATTCACATGATATAACTTCTAAAACTAACTGATATAATTTTTATTAAAACCTTTTACGATGTAAAACATCTTACAAAATTTACTAAAAATAATATTTTTGGCACTTACTTAATGAAAGATGATTAATGTTTAAAGAAGATTCCAATCTAAATTTTTGACAAAGTTTTTTTCCTTTGTCTTAAAGAAGTCAAGTAAGCCTCAGCTCAGTTGATGGTGTAGGGGAGTTATAACTTTGAGTAAATAATTATACCCCCAACATATATATATATATATATATATATATATATATATATATATATATATATATATAAAACTCAAAAAACTGAGAAACAGCAAGATGTGGAAACATCAAAACTAGTATTATTTATTATCTGATTGTTATGTGGTGTTGGAGACATGAGAGATAGTAATATTGAGTAATATTATGAGTTTGGGGTCAAATGTAGATCAAATATGGATCAGAATCTGACAAAATAATAAGATAAAGAATAAGTAAAGTGTATACTGTCTTTCTCATTTATTTTTTATAGATGTGTGAAATAAGTATCCAGATAATTTAGTTGGAAAAGTACAAGAAGTTTTTGGGGCTTTCTTATCTCAAATCTTTGTTGAGTGCTAAGTGATAAATGTTACTATTATGGCCTGAAGAAGTAAAAGGAGCTGAAATTTTCATTGGTGCATGTGTTGACGGCATGTCCATGTTTACTGCTTGTCTGATAGTGAGAATGTACATGCTTGTGTGTATAGAGAAGAAAAGTGGGATTGATTCTCATTTGTTTAGAAAAAGTGAATTAATGATAATTATAATTATTATAATTATTTTGATACTATAATTAATTTTTATTTATTTATGGATACAACAATAACTATGTAAATTGTTTCAGTATAAATAATACAGTACAATGTAGATACTGTTTTGTTAAATTTTCTACTTTCAACTTCACTGGGTTGAAAATTCTACTACTCTAGCACCTGTCTGGTCTCAAGCTTGCTAGAAGGGTGAAGTTTAATCTGTATATGAATTTATGCATCATAACATTTGACAGATGAATAAGTAAGTAATGAGAAGATTAAAGATTAACCCAATGAATTGATGTGGTTCAAGTTACTGTTCAAGTAAAATTAAACATTACTCATCATCTAAAAAAGTAAACTTTAGCATTTAGTGTATTCTTTGTAAAGTTGTTATATGTCAATGTTAAAGTAAATTATTAGTAATCATTTGTAAAGATGTTTATCTAGTAGATACAGTTAAATCCTACTATGTAAGTATTCTACTGAAGAGAACTGATATGAAATAACTTTTAATTATATATGAGTTAGGAGAAATTTTTAAGAGTGATTTTGTTTTGTTTTTAATAAAAGTCTACCAGTCATAAAAGAAAAAAAAAGTAATTGAAGTGTAGAAAAATGTCTAAACAATTTCATTTGCTCTCTGAGAAAAATTAATAAGAAAAACGTTGAGTGAATTATATATCATGGTGCACAAGTTAACTTCAAAGATATCCAGTAGAGAAAGTGAATTTAAAAACATACTGAAGTAAAAACATAACTGACTAACACTTCTAATCATTAACAGATATTGCAATAAAAATCACAAATCATTTCTGTAATTTGTTGTCACTAACAATTGAAGATTTTCTTCAGGATTTTTAAACATTCTAACTCTTGCAATGAGCAAAGGAGAAAGAAGCTCAGCAGATGGATATTCAAATGCTTTTAAAATGTAGCATAAAATAATAAATACAGAATTAAAATTACACACAACAATAGATAAAATAAAATGATATATATTAATCCCAATTAATTTTATAGTCATCCATTGCTAACACCCCCACAAGTATTATATTCCTTCCAATTAGTTATGATTATAGCAACTGGTTGATGACCATAGCTGTTAATAATCACTGACAAATTTGTTGGCTCTGGCAAATTTTAAAAGGAAATTTTTTTAAAACATAAAAAATATATTGATAACAGAAATTAAAATTTGTTATTAGCCATTTATAAGTATTAATTACTATTAAGTATTAATTTCTGAGGAGACTAACACCTAATATGAAAAAGTCATCATTTTTTATGCATATTATAGTAACATTTTATAAGTTAATTTCTTCTAGTTGAACACCTTGAAATTTTCTAATGAGAATTAAAAGTTGCATCACCTGTTTTTTCCATAAAATGATATAAGATACAACTCTATGATCTTTGCCAAAATGGATAATAAACAGAATTTCTTCTTGAACCATTAAGTGATCTTAATTGTTGTTCCCAGCTTATTTTCTTATCTTTAGCTTTTTATTATCTTTTCATCTAGTGTGAATCACATAGAATAACACAAGAAATGATGATCTCAAGTCATTTTTAACTTGCAGTGCAATGTAGTATTAATTAGCAGTTGGTGCAAGTATGTTACGTACATAGATTCCTCACCCACCTTTCAACATACATAATGATCCAAACTGTCTCTAATGTCCTTTGCAGAAAACGGAAGATTGATCTTGGCGTATTGTAAGTAAATTGTCTCATTATGCCACTCAGTTAAAAGAAATAAGATTAACCACTCGGTCTTCAGTCATTTGCTTCTTGACATGATAAAAGGATAGAGCTTCCAAATTGTAAAACGATTAAAAGTGAATGAAACTTATGAAACCTGAGAGCAATAAAACAGCAAGAGATGTGTATTGAACATGCAGAGATAATTGTGTAAAGTTCTGAGATAAGACATCACTGTGATAATATCTCTAGCTTGACAGCTACAACTTTTTGCTGTTACCAATTTTCAGCTGATCATTTCTACAGATAAATATCACATCCTAAAGATGAGGATACTTGTTTAAATCATATTATAAACAGTATCTTTCTTTCTCATGTTTCTAAAACATTCATAAAACACAACTGCATTGATTACAGATAAATATTCCACTACATCAATAAAAATTTCAGTTTAAGTTTTACTTTTCAAATACAAAATAAAATTTTACTTTTATAAAAAGAAATCATAAAACCACTTATACAAAACCAAATGCTAATGAAGAGTGGAACTATAGTGGATAGGAGGTTATCTTCTTACAAAGACCATTGCCTCCATATACTGGTATAATTGTTTTGGGTGTATACTGGCCTTGTATAATGATGAAAAGTAAATGCACAATGTTGATAAATACAAAATAAATCTTTTTATGAACAATATAATAATAAGGATAAGGTGAAAGTTGAAGTTTCAAGATTTCAAGTATAAAAGTTCTGGCACATAAGAGAGAGAAAGAAAGACAGAAAGAGTCCAGGAGGAATTAAATATAGACATGCATATGTATGTATATATCCAAATATAGTAGCTGCTGCTTGAACACATGGTGAAAGAAGGTATGTTTGTTTTCAATGTAGCAAGGACAGCTTAGTCATGTAAGGTCATCAGCTACTCATGCAAATGGCACAGCATTGGAGAATGGAAAAAATTTATCGACTTTGATTTTGGTTGATTTCCCATCTAGGTATATAAACATCTATAGATCCACTTTGAAAAAGCCAGTTGCTTCTCACTGGATTATGGCCTTATATCCTGGTTGTGAAATATTTTTGATTGGTTGATTGAACTATTTTTAGGGATGGTGAAATTTTTGTCTCCTTGTTATTATTTGTTTATTTCTTTTCTTACATACTGATTGTGAAAGCTTTCTGATTGGTTGGTGGCTTTGTTTGCCTTGTGATTTTTATTATCCATCTATTTTTAGACATGGTGAAATTTTGGCCTTCTTGTTATTTATTTTTATTTATTTATTTCTCTATCACAACATACTTTTCGCTTGAGAACAAGAGTTTTATAAAATTATTTATATATGTTTTTTTTGTGTATGCGTGCATTTAATTTGCTTAACTTTTAATAGTGAAATATGTATTTTCTTTATTGCATTTTATTGTTCTAGATTTAAATTTGGCTCTATTAAGTCCTTCAGAATTTGATGGAGAGTTTTTTGATTCTGTTGACAAAATCTCTAGTGGTCTTACTTTCTGAAATTAATGCAAGCTTTAGTCTGTCAATTGAGAAGGTATTGTTCACTTCATCACAAATTTTTATCATAAAGTATTACTGATTACAGTGTAATACCTCAAATGGATCTATATACAATGCTTCAAGGGTTTCCAAACTGTCTGTTTGTAACTAAATATATTTACAAGTATTTAAATCTTCTGGGGCATATGAATTGGGTAAAGAATGCAAATGTCCATTGGATAGTTCATCAGTTTCAAATTTCTGTATTTCTTTAGCTATATTTGTGAAATTTGTTATTCCAATTGTCCTGGTCTTTGTGTTGATTAATATTTGGAGAACTTGTGTTTTGCCTCCTGTTACAGCAGTAAATGGAGAGTAATTTAACTCATTAGGTGTTATACTGATTCTGAGAAGGACAATAGGTAGAACTGACAACCATGATTCTTTCCTGGCAATGATTGCCATCTTTAGAGTTCAATGCACCCATTCATTTAATCCATTTGTTTGTGGATAGTAGGATGTTGTCTGTAGTCTTTGGAAACTTATTATCTTCAACAGCTCTGAAAACAATCCAATTCAAATCAACTACCCCAGTCTGTAACAACACAAAATCACCATCAAAGGACATGCTTCTACTCACTGAGTACTTTTATAATTTTTAATAATTTCACCACAAGTAAGGTGATAAGGACACAAGGAGTTACTGGAAGTGAAAGAAAATGAAAATTGAAGAGAAAGCACAAAAAAAAAAAAAAGAAAAAAGAACCGGATTCAGGAAAAGAGAAGATGGTGATTGGTGTTGCATTTAAATTTTTGAAGATTGTTCCAAAAACTATTAGAATAGAACATAAGGTTGCATCTAGCTAGTTCAACATTAAAACAGTGAGATCTCTAGTTGCCAGTCTAGTAGCATGCTTAAATTCATGCAGTCAAGGGC